ACAGTAGGCAGCACTCTGGGCTATCATCAAATAATAGTTTTTACCACTTAGTCTCTTATCACTAGAATCTGGACAATGTTTTGCAATCTCTAATGTTAGTATGCATCTACATCTTAAACTGCAATTTAATAGGACATGGCATAAAGAATAATCCTACGTACGAACATATTCCCGTGACCTAAAGAGCATACGTGTGAAAATTATGCCCACTCTGCACTGTAACTGATTTTTATTTTTAACAGTTCAATGAACATGAAAACTAAATCTTTATACTAGGATCTAATTAGATAATATGAGGTCAGCTAGACCTGCCACCCAGCGTTTCACTGCATGCACATGAAAAAAAATGTACAAGACAATTCTGGCATTCAGTGAGCTGCTCTGACATGCCACTCCTATGTAAGTAACTCTTTAAGAGCCAGCATTCTTGTAGATATTATGCAGTTAGTGCCCCAGTATATGCTGCATCTATTTTAGGTGTCAGCAGGAATCCTAATGTACTTATTAAAATTAGAGTCAAGCCTATGCAGCCACCCGAAAAAAACCTGGCTTTCCTAGCACACACATACCAAAATTATAAACATACATACATACAGACACAAGAAATCACAAGGGTAGACTTAAAGTGGCCATGTCAAGTAAAGAGTTTAACTATTGGGTCCCCTTAGTACAGGTTTCACTGTTTATGAAGTAGTAAGAGAACTATTCAACTACAATGAACCAAGGCCTCTCACACTATGTAATTTCGCTGACAGTTGCAGATTTTGGCTCTGGACCAGTCCCTCCTGGGGACAACAAATGAAACTCCTACAGAAAATAAGAACTGGGTTCAGACCCGAGCCACTGCCCCATCAAGAGACTGCCCACAGGATTTGCAAGGCTCTCTCAAGACCCACTCCTGCTATGATGCCCACAAGGTATTAGCCAAACAATCTTGGCCAGGTTGTGGAATAGCAGGAGATAACTTATAATACTAGCTAAAGAAATATTCATAAGTATCCAGTTGTGCGCATAGCCGGCCTATACAACTGCGTGATTTTATGATTGCCTTCATCTCTTCTCCTACCGTTGTTATACTCAGGCATTGCTTCCTGTTTCAAATTACTGTGTAAGCTGTTCAGAGCAGAAACCACGTCCTTGCTAGGTTTGTGCCTAACATATTAGAATAGGGCCCATATAGAGACTGGGGCCTTTGGATGCCACCAAAAAACAAAGATAAAAACAGACCAGAAATTTACTTCAGAATTATTTCTTCAACATCGAAGCTAACTACTTCAGTTCCTCCGATTGAGCCAAGTACATGGGAGCAAGAGACACACCCCTGTGCTAGCTACCAGGTACCTGCCCACTCACCCATAAAACACTGAAAGACAGTCATGTTTGTTCACAGCAGTCGCTGCAGAAGCTGGAAGCTAACGGGTTAATGTAACTTTGATAAGGAATGTAATTGAAGTGCTACCCATCTGGCAACCTTTTAAAAGAGAAGGAGAGGCAGGGAAATATATTTTACCACATGTGTTCCGGAGAATGGCTATTCCGGAGAGACTAGTCTGCTCTTTGAGTTTTCTCCCAAAATGCCATCTATGAGCATGTTCAGTGGAGTCTTTGCAACACTATTCCTGAAATGGGAGGGGCTTGTAATAGGAGTGGCTCATAAATCTACAATGGGGAAGTAGTGAGTATGGATCATTTGACACAAACATTTTGTTCTGCAGAGCAAGTGCTTAGAAGACCCAACTCCCATCTGGGCCATATTGGTGGTGCCACATTTTGAGGCCTCCCTAGAAATCTGAGGTGTTAACAGCTTCAGAGGGTTATATAGTGTCTACAAATAGCCATTACAAACCAAACTGGGCACAATCTACAGTAAAGTGGGTTTTTTCAGAAGAGTTAGGTACAAATATTTATGTTTAAATTACAATACAATATTTGCACCTCTATAGCATGTCCTTAGAAGATCAAAGGGCACCTTACATACATTTACATCGCAACAAGAGCACACTAGGCTCTTTACAGAGAACTAACTAATTAAAAACTTACACATCCCATAGAGGGGTTTATAGGATACAAATAGATTATTTCATACATTACTTAATTACAGTCACCACTGACGTGGAAAGCAAACGCTGTTTAAAAATATACAGCACCACTGTGTAGTTCAGGGCAGAAGGATAGTGTGCCCAAGTAAAAGAGCAAGGGAAATTTGGGGGGAATTAATTTCACCAGGATGGCTCATATACTGTGCCAATCTCATGTTTGCTGTCCAAATATTTGTTTTTCTATGGCATCGGCTATATTTAAAATGTTCACTGCATTCCTTACAGTGATCACCAGGTTTAGAGAATGAAAATCAATAGATCATCAAAATTAAAATGTCCCCATTTCCATATCAGAATAAAAAGAGATTAAGGAACAGACATGAGCTGCAGAAAGTTGGGAAATCTCATTAATCTCACTGTGAAGTGTCAGAGAGCAAAAGCTGGGAACACACACAAGATATAATTACCTTGTCTGTATCCAGAAATTTGCAGTCTGTGAGCAGATGCACTTCTGTACCATTGCCTGCTAGAGGCAGATTGGAATGCCTATTTAACAGACTGATGTTCCCCTGGCAAAAAAAATTTGGCCTAGACAATCATTTAGCTACCTGTACATCTGGTATCTATATTTTATGTTGCTGGCATCCTGCAAAGAATTAGTGTAATGTCCAAATCTGGGCACAGCGGAACCATTTGTTGTACTTGTAACTAGTGAAATTGACTACAGTGCTGGTAACAGAAAAGTATGTCAGGGTTAACCTGGTTATTAGTGTCAGAGCAAACTGAATTATTTGGGAGGCTTCAGTGCATGAAGTGTTGGTGCCAACCAGAGCAGCAATGCTGGGAGCTAGCCAAGTGGTCGAATGGAGCTTAGTAGCATGAATATCAATGATTTTAGTTGTAGTAGGCCTTGTGTAAGCAGCTTGTGAGGCCAGCATGCCCCTCACAGAGTCAAATCCTGTTTCCAAACTGAGCATCTGTGCACCATCTGGGTCCTGGGAAAAGGAGCACAGCTGCGTTCCTTCTCCCAAGAGGTTAGCCATACCTCATGCATGAAGAGGATGTTAACCAAAACACTGTCATTCAAGCCAGTGTAAACTTGGCATCTTTAGGTCATCTAGGGACATCTTTTTAAAGATTCAAGCATGCTGGACTTCGAATACAAGAACTGCTACCATAGGACAAATGTTCTCATTTTCTCCTCTCTTGCACCCAGACTCTCCAGAAACCCTTTCCATCCAGATGAGAATGGTAAAGGCCACAACAGGAGCCTAACAGGTGGATCATTCCCTGAATCCCCATCTGCACATAGAAACTAGCCAAAACCCTTTTGTCTGACTTGCTGAGAGGAATCAGACCCAAACACCATTGGACCTTCTGGAAAATTCACGTGACCAGTTCAAAACCCACAAAAAGGAAGAAGGAAAGGGGAGAATGAACCTTTAACTAAATTAAAAACTCTTCTACAGTCTCCAGAGCAATACATACTCACTCGTAGAAAAGGGAAGCAAGTGCATGTTTGGCTAGTTAACTGGAGTGCAAGACTGAAAGTCGCAATTCCTAGGTTTGTTCCACAGCTCTGCTATGTCTCCTAACCTTGAGCAACTCACTTAACCTCTTTGGCTCTGTTTTACCAGCTACAAAACAAGGATAATGTCTCCAACAGGGGTTTTGAAGCATAATGAACACTTGCAAGGTGTTACATAGAGACTACTAATATAATTTAAAGAAGAGCCGTGTTACTTTTTCGCCATGTCAAGCCATGTTCTTTACCTGATCCCTCATCTTGCTTTCTCCACACCCCAAGTTTGCCACATGATATCTACACTTGCTATGTAATTCAAGTTAGCGTGTCTGTTATTGTCACACAAAAGAGCAATATCACTTGCTCTTAGCATTGGACAGTTTCAGGTGAAGCACAAACAGCACTGACGTGTAAGCCAGTGGCAATATTACTAAGCGATTACTACGTGAGACACCACACTTCTGAAGCCAGACTGCCTCACCGACAGCCTCTGCTGGCTGGTTGAGGAACAATGATGCAGTCGTAAGAGTGCTGACCAACTATCCCAAGAGGAGGGAAGTCATGGTACTTATGCATAAAGAAGCATGCTGTGGCTCACCACCCTAGGAACATTCTAGAAAAGGCCAAAGGGAGGGGGGGCAAGCTCAACATGTAGAGTGGAGAAGTATAAGCATGTGATGAACAAATCCATATATAGAAAGGTTAAATATGACTGGTTAAAGGTTTGTGTTATGTAACTTGTTATGCAACTGCCAAGTGCTATAAAATAGCAATGGGAGGGGCTCCTTGCTGGAGGGACTCTGGCTGATTTTTGTACCAGGGTCTCTCCCTTTGTGCACATTGATCAAAGTCTTGTTGAACTGAATTGAATTGAAGACCCTTGATTCTGCATCTGACTTGGTTTTTATTGGGAACCACAAAATCCCAACACACCAAAGGCAAAAATATATATGTAAAAATATATGGCTAAGTCTTATAGTTGGCAGTAATTCTTCTGTTATTTCCTGGGACCTTTAGGTGGAAAATAGTAGGCTTCAACAAAGGGAAGAATCAGGTCTCTCACATTTTGCTGCAATAATGCTGGATATCACCTCATCAAGCATTCTGGAGTTTATTTCAACAGAGAAGACTCAGCATGCCCTCCAGCTCACAGACACATACTGCCTTTAAGGGGAAAAAAAACTTGTGTTGAAGTGAAGAAGCCAGCTTCACAAGACTAACAGGGATGCACGTCCTGTATATCACAGGGGAGAGCTTTCACTCACCCATTAAGCCAAACCCTCTCCAGCTCTATTTGGGAAACCCTCTGTTCACACTGCTCGGATGCTCTATATGCAAGGACATCTTCCCTTCTATAAAAAGATACCGCGGCTTGTTTTGTGGCTTCAACATTTAGGTATCTTACTTCACCGGTGCTAGGCCTGGACACCACTTACCAAGCGCTCGTGCCACGGCCAGGAATGGAATCTGGTCAATGACTGTACTCCTCCGCACAGGGCCATTGTGAGTCAGCCGAGGTCTCTTCCAGACAACCCGATTCACACCAGACTTATTGATCACACTAGAGGTATTAGAAACAAAGGGGTGTAGATTAAAAAAAACAGTTAGTCACAACCCAGCTGACTTTGTATGGTTTAAGTTGCAGAAACAGTTACCCCAATTGCGTATGGAATGAATGCTATGACCTCGGTCAAGGCCTGCAGTGTAGACGCATCCTTCAGAACACAGTGAGATTGTGATAATTTGAGGGTTTTAGCCCAGCTTTGGCAGACGAGGCAAAGGGGACTGAAAGGAAGATGAAAAGCTGTGAGGATTTTTGGCTTCCTGCTGATCATCTGAACGCCACTAAATGTCTCCCCCACATCAGAGGAGGAGACAAACTGAAAGTTTGTTCCCCTGAGATGCTGGGCTGCATAACATCAATGTCAAACCCCATAGGGCTGTGTTATTTAGGGTTCTCTCTCTCGTTTTTACTATCCGCTGTGGCTCTGATAGTCAGCAGCAGCAGTGAGTGGTTTAAAAAAAATTGAAAAGAGCCACCTTAAACAGTCTTATGTAGAGGTTTTCTTGCTAGAGTAGCAACAGGAGGCAGAAATAACAGAACAGTCATCATCTGCTCTCAAGCCTGAATGAAAGAAACAGCTCTACATTTAAATTTTAACACCTGCTCTCAGATGTTGCGCAGTGAGATTAGTTCGCACAAAGTTATTGGGGACGTGAAGGAGAAGCCATGCGGAATAAGAGGCTTATTTTGGTGAGCGGCAATGAGCCATATACCCAGAAGAGGTACTGGGAAAAGGCACTGGTGCAGCTTGCTAATAAGCTTACTCTCCAACAAGCTATGGACCAGGCACCAAAGCTAGCTTCACTTATGGAATAGCCATAGGCAATTAGACACTGAAAAGCTATGGAGCAGCCTCCAAACTCCTTGTATGACATTTATTCCAGGTGGAACTCCAGGGACTTTGAAGCCCTTACATCAGTGATGAATTAAGCCCCATTATTGCGTGGCATGTATGTGATATGCATAGCAGGAAGAATCACAGAGACTATGTCCTCAGATTCACCATGCTCATTTGGAACCCTAATGGCCAAATCTTGTTAATGTTATTTCTGCCTGGAAGAAGATCCCATCCCACGCTGACATTTAAACAGATTTTTAGCAGGGAAGCTTTCTTAATTTGACTAGCAGATCCAATTCTCCTCTTCTCCCCTCTCTCTCTCTCACGGGAAGTGAAGATGTCCTGCTAGCACAATCCCACTATACTCCTGCCAAGTGGCACATGTCTCACAGTTCTGGGAGTAGCTGGGCAGTCTCTGCCAGTTTCATCACCAACTCTGGGAAAAGCTGGAGGACCACCAACAAGATGACAATATCAATCCCCACCACTCCTGTAAAAAAGGAAATTCTAGGAGTTGCCCACTTGCAACTAGGAACTTCAAAATATATTCCGTGTCCTTCAGCGAGTGACAGAAAAGCACATTTGGAAACCTGTAACATCTACAGGCACTAACCTAGTGAAACAGCAAGTTATCATTTCAGAAACCTCTTATCCCAAATGCAGCTAGCTGATCTGCTTCCACCTGCTAAAGACACAAATATCTGAAGGTTAATGAGCTGACAGGGTTCTTGAGTGAACGATGTCAACAGGAAAACCTTCAGTGATCTCTGCATCTGAGCTGCTAAAAGAAGGGAACGCTGCCCATCCATCTGGTGCAGTACTGTTGAACAAAAGAGCATAGGGCTCCTGTGAAGCTGTGCCAGATTCGAGCCCTGAGGTTTGTTTCACAGTACTGGTGCCATCTGACAAGGCTTCCTGCTTGCTCCCCTACCTCTCAGCTATAGGGAACATGCATGACTGCAATTCGACTCCTTCTGGGATGTTTTAGCATCAGTCAGTTCATGGAAAAGAAACCTAAACTCAGCTTTGGCAAGCAGAGGAGGTAGCAATGTTCAAATACTATGACTTAACATTCAGATTTACAATGTTTAAATATACATCTATGTCCTGTTATTAATTTGTGATGTTAGTTTTCTTTAAAGAAAAGTCTTGCAAGGCCTATTCTACAGCTGGCCTTGTTACCTCAAGGGCAATGTAAAAATGCATCAGAAATTTTACTTTTATAGAGCAGATAGATCCTAATTAGATATGGAAGATACCATCTTCTGCCAGTACAGGGTACTGTATTCCAGCTGAGGCCTTACCAACTGCAAAACTAATACTACGTTGCTACCAAAACCTTAATATTTTCTTCATTTGCTAGAAAAAGCGCTCTACAGCTCATAGTTAATATTTACATGGAAAGACAAATTTCTCTTTCAAACACTCTTAAGCCAAGGAGAACAAGGTCAGTCAGCAACCACCCCTTTTTTCCCCTCCCACTTTTTTCAAAACCCCAAATATACTTCTCACTTTGGAGATTTCATTGGGCTTCCATTCAGAAATCAAAAATCATCCCACCCCATAAACGTCCAGCAAAATGGCATTAGTACCAGACACTAAAATAACACAACTACTTCCCCACAGCAAACCCACTGGATAGTCAGAGCCCAAATGGTCGAAACACAGAAAAGGTTCAAACAGCTTCACTGAGCTGTGTGAATGCACAAGTAGACTTGAACCCATTTGATCAGCAGGACAAGGACAGTGAAAATGAGGAATTGAAATGAGAAACAAAACACAGAGTTACCTGCCCCCAAGCCCTTCGATTCTCTCCTTTTCTTTTGGAAGTTCAGGCTTATGGTCCTGTGTCACCTCCACAGCCCTAATAAAGTCGTCTTTGGGGTCATCCTGGACTCCCAGCACCACTCCTGAATCTCCAACATGCGCCACATACATCTTTGACCCACGGATAATTACCACACTGGCGGTAGTTCCTGATGTGCTTGGGAGGCCAGTCATGGTCTTCGGCCACTCTGCTGCAATGAGAAATAAAAGCTACATTTTTATTCCTGAAACTTGTAATTAACTCCCCCTCAGGAGATTATTAAAAAAGCCCCAAGATATTACAACTACCCGAAGAAAAATATTTTGCCATGATGTCAAGAATGGATTAATAAGTCATATTGAGGTCAAATCATGCCAGCGTCAGTCAAACTAGAAACTAAGTGGTTGAAGAGGTGTTTCTTCTTCATCTGTTTCAAGCCTTACCACAAGTCACACTGAAAATGGCCTTCATAGTCTCTGTCTGTCTACGTTAAATAAAACCCACAGATTTTAGCACAGTTGTTCATTTCTATTCATGAAGAAACAGAAAGTAGGGGCATAGCAGATCCAGAGTAAGGGGTGTATCAGAGAGGTCTGAATAAATTACAATGAGGTGCGTGTATGACCACATTATGACTGGTTCAAACCAATACCCTCAGGTCCTTCCTTTCTAGGAGCATAAAATTAATTTACCTTCAGATTAAAAAATAAAAAATAATCCAAACTGAGGTCAGAATACTGAGGTGAGATTTTGAAAGGCATCTCCCAGGGTTTAGTTGCCTGACTGCTGCTGGAGGAAATAAGTACACAAAATAAGAGATGTGGGTGTTAGTTGAGAATACCTCCCAAGATTCAGTGAAGCCTAATTTTCACCTCCCTATTAGAAGTTGTAGGAGTGTCAGATAATTCAGGTCACTAGTTGTCTGGACATTGCAAACCCTTACAGGGAACAGAATGACTGCCTTTATATCTATGCGTATTTGGGTTTTAAATATATTCTGAACAGTGGTTCAAAATACATTGTCTATCTGCATCACCCAGGAGAAATTATTTACATGTCCACATTGAGGACAGAACTGCACAGGCTTCTTATGGTAGCTATCCCACAGCCCCATGTAAAACTTACTACCCAAGAGGTACTCCTCCAATTCAGACTTATTACATATCTACACTGGCTTTTCCTCCTCCCCTTCCACATTAAATTCAAACCTCTTCACATTCAATTCCTGCTTTATCTCACTGTCACCACTCTGCCCCGCCAACATTTATTTTCATCTCCTCCTACGCTCCCCTCCTGCTCCAAAAGTTGTGCCCAAATTTCTCTCCTAACTGCTCCCTTTGTCTACGTCATCTATGCTCCTGACTTGACGATTTTTTCCTACAGCCCATTTAATGCAGCCCCCCAGTTAAGATACACCTAGTCCCACAATCTCCCTCCCTCCTTCAAACAACATCAGATAGGTCACCTTTCCATGAAGCCGACTGTCAACAGCAACCTCATCTTATGCTTGCTCTGCACTGCACCTGCTGGTGTCTTAGACCGTAAACTCATCAGAAAAGGCATTTGTTTCTCTGGCATATTTTATCTATTGTACTTTACCATTTACACTTACAAAGGTTACCACTGAAGAGTCTGCATTTCCCATAGTACAGTACACTCCACTGCAGTATATATTCCACATATCAGAAATACCATAGTATAGTAAATACCCTAGTACAGTATGTACTTTCCTATGGCAACCACTTTATAACAGAACATGAAGAACCTTATACACTTATTTAAGCAAACAAGCGTCAGTAAAGTGAGGATGAGTTATCTTCAGGTTCCAGCAATTTCACAAACCACTCAAGACAACCATGCTCTTTGTTGCAGCCTCCATATGTTCTGGGATGGAAATGAAAACATACAGCAAGATCAGCATATTAGGCCTTGAAACCAGGTGTTTTAACCTGGGAGAATTACATCATTAAAAGGAAAGAATCCTCACCCCCTCTCATCTGAGCCCCCCAACCCTTCTCCCCAACCACCTATCACCATAATCCAACCTCCCCTCGCTGGTGTCCCAAACACCTCTTCACTTACTCCCCCCATCCCTCCACTCCTTCACCTCCCAGCAAGCATTCACATGTCTAATTTATTTTATTTTCAAAAACAGTTTGATTGCATATCCCCACAATTATTGTTTTTTAAAGACAGATTTTAGCAACACGCCTTCAAACCATATCAGTTCAAGGGCAGAACTGAACATTGGCCGAGGGTAGGTCAGGATCAAGAGATTCTGCATACCCCCTTCAGCTGACCAGCTGCAACGGAAACTGGCAGGCTAGAAAGCCTTCTGGCTACTCCGTGTGCACAGTAATCCATCTGGTGCATAAAAATTTGGCACGCGCTTAACTAGAGAGCTAAACTCTCTCCTTAATACCATTTGCAATTTTGCTCCCCCCAGGGATACTGGGTGCCACGCACTCTCTAGGGGTAACTCTCGAGCAATTAAGACCCTTGTGCCAGGATTGCAGCCCTGGTAGAATCCATGAATCTTAAGAAAAGCTGCTTCCCCCCTCCCACAAGGAGGGGGAGCTGTACCTCAAGAACCAAATTTGGGGCACTAATCCTACCTTTGCCCCCATACGGCACACTGAATTTCACAGGAATCAAAGTAACCATGGAGATTTTAAAGCACTTTAAGAAGTGCAGCATGAAACAGAACACTATTCTAAATCTGAACTGGAGCAGAGCTGGCACCAGTATACCAACAACAGTGGTGGAGAAAGGCCCCCGCGAATGAAATCTTGAAGAGAAATATTACTTTGGCCAATATAGATAAAGCCAATAAAACCTTCAGAAGGAATGTGTGGAGGCAGAGGCAGGAAAACAACGTGGGCAGCTGCATTCAAACACAATGCACCAATTATCGTTTTTCTTAGCCATTGTTTAAAAAAGAAAGGTTTTTTTGGATTCTCTCTTTGGAATCAAAATCTTCAGTCAGAGACATGGATAATTTTAAAATTCTTGCCCAGCAATTCTGTTGTTTTAAGGTTATCTCTTGTATAGGTTTAGGTGCCTTCCCACTGTTCACCTTCTGTTAACTGAACAAAAAGGCCTGGAGCCTTCAGACAATAAGGATATGTTTACACTGCTGCAGCTGTCTCACTGTGGTGTAGATGCTTCTTCCATCGACAGAAGGAGTGTTTCCCTCAATGTAGGTAGTCCACCTCTCTGAAAGATGGTAACTATGTCAAAAGAAGAATCATTTCATTGACCTAGAGACATCTATACCAGGGGTTAGGTGGGCCAAACTATGGGGCTCAGAGCACAAAATTTTTCAGAGCCTTGATCGCTGTAGTCAGGTCAACCTAGGTTCTAGGTGCAGACCAGGCCTAAGTGTTTTGTACTTCTATAACACTATTCAACAAGGGATCAAACATTACTTTACAAACATTATGTCCCAAGATCCCTGGGAGGTGGACGACTACTATCCCACCCACTTTGCAAATGAGTCCACAGGGCAAGTCAATGACAAAATTATGTCTAGAACCCCAGAGTCCTAACTTCCAGTTGTGTGTTTAGCCAGTAGACATCACTTGAAGAATTAAAAAATTTCACCAGATATCAATTTCATCCCCAATTATTTATTGAACACAAATTGCATTTGACCTGACAGGTGGATCAAAAAGGGCTTTGTCTAACAAGCATGACAACTGTAGATATATTTAATACACTCATAAAATGGTGAGATTGAGGCAGAACTCTGAAATCCTCATTTCCATTTAACCTGTGATTTTATGACACAACAACATAAACTGGTAGGAACTCATTAGCTGCAATAAACCCTTTTGAGCAATAAAGAAGTGTGTTAGACAATCAAATTAGTGTTTATGTAAAATAAAAAGCATTGTAACCAAAATCCCATATTTGTAAACAAAACAGATACAGCAAGAGCACACGATTTTAGGCTCTCACTAAGCCCCACCTATGTCCATCTACATTAAGGGGCTTAAGCAAGTTAAGCCTTGATTTGTTTTAGTGGCGACTACTACATACACTCTAGAATAGGACTTTCTTCAGAGATTCAGATCATGCTATATCGGACTACAAGAGAGATGCGTTTTAACTAGTGTAAACAAATTATTAAAATCCTCTTTGTTCTGTGGGCTAGCAATACATTCATTATCATTGGCCACAAAAAAAGATTTAAAAAGCTGAAACAAATGTGGGGATAGAGTTTATCCATGAGCATTAGCCCAAAATGGATCTGACATGCAGCATTCAGTGACTTGTATATTGTCGGAAACAAAGAACTAAGGATTCTGTTAACATAATACTAGTTTCAAAGAACGCAGACCTGATCAGACATCAGTGGATGAATCAAGATTCCAGATCAATTACTAAAAGCTATAGGACTCTGGGGGAAGGCACTTACATGCCTCAAGTTTCTTCTCACTTCATAAAATGAGCATATCTGCCTACTTTGAAAAAGTGCTGTCATGCTGAACATATACTTGTAAAAGACTTCGGTTCTGTTTTCACTGGGGTAGGGGAGCGCTGTTAACCCAAGTTAGCTAATGCAAGGTGGATTTTACCTGCCATTTCACTCTGAACGTCCCTCATACTTAGATCATCAAGTTTAAGTTGGCTAATAGACCCCCTCCTCCCTTCATTATTTTAAGACCCAAACGCTGCCCAGAGTTAACGAGAGTAGCAGTTTTAACTCAATTTCCTTGTTTTAACCACTTAAAAACAAAATCCGGCTTTTCATAACCCTAATGCAGAATGGTTGTTTTAAAAGATCAATGCAGTGGGTTTTTTTGTTTTTCTTACACTAAACAAAAGGTTCAGGAGTACTCAGGTATGCGCTTTTACTTCCAGAATAAGAACTCTTGGTACAAATTGTTTCAGTGTTAATTCCAAAGCTAGAGTCAAGCCAAGACTAGACAGACCCTCATTTTAATTACTAAGATATAAAGATGTAAATTTCTTTTTCATTCTACCAAACGTAAACTAAAGACATAACAGGTTGTTACAGGTGTGCCTACAACCACAACACCAGATAGTCAGACAAATGATCCTAACTTTTTCTGTTTGTTTGTGGTTTGTTTTGTTTTTTTAAAGTATGAAGCTGTATCCACCACTGACTACACAACTATTCTCATGGGGCCCATTCCCCAGCTAACTCGTGAGCTGCAGCTAGTTATCTTAAAGGATACACTGCAATAAAACAGCTGTGTTAGATAAGTGGTGATTCTCACAGTAATTTCACATTTTCTACAGTGTATAGAAGCCAGGTGCTGACACGCAAACCTAACCACACCTGATCTGGTGATCTGGAACTGAGGCTTAAGTTCAGTATTTGTTTCAGTGGGATCACAGGTCTCAACAGGACTTCAATAGCCTGCCACCGAGTATTATCTCAACCCAGCAACATGCATCTTTCAAGCTTCCCCCCGGCCCCCCTTCATTAAGTGTACATGTGAAATGTAAGACCAAGTTTCCTTTTGACAAAACAAGTCCAGTGCACTGTGTTTATACCAGACTCCAATATTCCAGATAATCCAATATGGTAGACAAAAGCCATTTTTCCTAAATCAACTGCACCAAGAGCACATCAGTTAAAAGTCACAATGCATTATTTGTTCTGGACAGTATTAGGTTTTCTTCCTGTCCAAAATGCTGCAACAGCTTCCCAAGCCCCTGGTTCCAGCTGCTGCTATCCCTCATTCAAAATACTGCCATGGCTCCCAAATGTTCCTTGTGTCTTCCCTCCTCTTCCCTACCTGACCACTGAGAAGGAGCCTTAGCTCAATTACTCCATCCTAAGAAGTTTACATAAGCGGTCTTAAAAATACACACAATGCATACCAGGGGTCTTAGTAACAATACTTTAAGATTGAGGAACTGTCAATAGGATTCTTTATAAATAGGGATTTTTCTGACAGTTAGAAGACTATTGCAAGGCAAGATCAAAATGACCCAACTTTAAAGGCAAAGTTGTACATCATTAAGTTCACAATAAATTATTGCCCACTTTGACACTGTGCACTAAGTTGACAGTGGTCAAAAGAGGAATATTGAGATGAGACAACATCACACACAATTACATTCACCTCTCAGAATTATACCCATACTGCCTGTAAACAACATAACCTCTCCTACATGTTCGGCAACAGAGGAACAATGAAAAGCTGCTGTTACATCCAAGTAATGTAATTCAAGTACAGTTTTCTCGCTTCTGTGGATCTATAGCCCAACCTTTATATTTAATCATATAATTATATTCTCAATGTTAGCGTCCATCTACAACACCATCACCTGCCTAATAGTTCTAAACTCATATAGCTCTTCCCACACAGTATCAATCTGTTTTAAAAGGAGTTCGATTTTGGGATGTCCTTAACAGCAGAAGACAAATGTGCTAACATGCACTAATACTTTTGGCACAGACAGGCCCCAAATTAGAAGTGTGTAAACTGGTTAACAGTGTTAACAAATCTTCACTAGGTTTTTAATATACAAGGCTACATAAAGTACTCTCCAGTAATGGTCCAGAGCAATTGAGTAACACTATTTTGAACCATTACGGTGACGAATTTTAAATGGGCAAGTTGAAAACTTGTTGGGAGACATGTTAAGACAGGTACCTACTCCTTCCACCTGTGAATATCCTTCAGGGGTTGAAAAGCTAGAAATGTACGCATTACTACGAGTTAGTATTAAACAGGTGTCACAAATATAAATACCCCGCCCCAACTGACAAAACAGACACCAGCTTGGCGTTTGTATTACAAAGGAGTGCAGCTAGCCCAGTGTGCACCATAGTGGGGGAAAGGAGAAATTTTGAACAAGAACAGAACAAAACCCTTCTCTTGCAGAAAGGACCTTGTGATTATTTTGTTTTGCTTTCTAAACACATCCATTCAGACAGGTTCCAGGGAATGCAAGTGTTCTAAGCCTGCCATTAAACTACACCTAAGCTAGTTGTAGTCACTGTGTAGCAAGAGATTTAATAAAACAACAAGATGATAAGAATTGTTTTAATTCTACACACACACACACACACAGAGCAAGCCCTTCTTCCTTCCACACAAAATATCACCAAAATCCTGCATAAACTGTGGAACAGTTTTTGTTTGTTTGTTTTTAAATGTGCAAAACAGTGCTAGAAAAACTAACAATGTTATTACAGTTGTGCAATTACACAGTAGAGTATTCAAAAAACATAAACGAACTTTTGTTTCTGGTCTCCCCATGCTGGTTTTCTGACCCTCGGTCCTCGCTGATCAACAAAGCTTTTGCTACAAACCGAAGCAGTTTTGTAATCTGCTTTAATGCTCCTCTACCTCAGCTTTACTCTGCCCACACCCACAAAACAAAGACAGATCCCACTTGCAGGATCTTCGTCGTTGGCTCGGAAATATGGCTTATTGGCTGTACCCATGGACAGTCACTCAGGGTACGCGTACACTACAAGCACGACACCGGCAGCCACACTGCTATAGTATAGTTGCTTCCTACATTGCCGGGAAAGGTTTTCCCCATCATTGTAGTTAACCCGCTGCTACAACAGGCTAGACTGATGGTAGAATTCTTCCATCAACCTAGCTCTGTCTACATTGGAGTTAGGTTGACTTAACTATGGAGTATTTATTTGAATATTGTATTGAATGAAAACCTCAAGTTTTCTTGCACCTGCAGCAAAAGTTAGCAAGTTTGTGCTCCAGAAATCAGGAAGGAAGGCTTCCTGCAGAACTTACACAGAAGTTACAGAACTACCAGCAAGTGCACAGGGCCCTGGCTTTAGCTGTCCTTGAAAACCGTTTAGAACAGTTATACATCAGAAGCTCTGTTTGGTACTCACCAGTTGTTGCTCATAGCATTTCCTACACCACATCAATAGTTGGGGTGGGGAGTTTGCATATGCTATGTAAACCACCCTGGGTTACCACACTCAGCAGGGAGACAACTAGAAAACCAGGCTCATTATCTTTTTCCTCCATGCTCTCTCCCCATTGTTTGGGTCCAAATCATCACCATGCTTCCTGTCATGCAAGCCCATAATCTGGGGGTCAGCTGCCACTCCTCTCTTTTGCCCCAACAGCCACTTTTCTCACACCCTAATCATCCCCACTCCAACTATGGCAACCTATTCTTTCAGGATCTTTCCAATACATACCTTACCCCTGAAAACCCTGCTCTGTCCAAAATGTTTTTGCAAAAAATCTCGACTGTTCCTTCAACCATGTCATTCCCTTTGAATCACTTCATTGGCTCCCCGCTGTGTTGTGCATGGAATCCTAATTTATCCTGGACTTCAAGGCCCAATATTCACAGCGCTCCTGCCTCCATCTTTGACCTGGTCTCATTGTGTGTTCCCTCTCCCTGCCAGCCTTCCTATCCCCTTTGTCTCCATGCTGTCCCATATGCATAAAGCCTCCCCAAACTAATGAATAAGCTACAACCCTCACCACATTTAAAATCCTCCTGAAATTTACTTCTGCAGTCTCACCTACTAGATGTGTGAGGAAACATCACATGCGTGATAATATTGTCACCTAAATCTTTCCTTCTTCTCTTGTATAATTAGGACACTCACTTATGTCATGCTGTATTATTAGCTTGTATGGTCTTCAGGGCAGGGACTGTGCTCTTTGTTTTGGAACATACTGAGCGTATTCCTGGATACTCAAATAGTAAAACAAGTAACAAATAATAATCCCGGTTGCAGCAGGCAAGCTTTGAATCCTTCCATCAGCAATCAATGGGCAGAACTGGAGACGGGGCAATTGAGGAAAAATGTCGGCCAGGTCCTTTAGAAGGGACCCCAAATGGTACTAAAAGAAGTTCCCCCTTTGTCTCAGGGCATTCTGGGTAAGGAAAGCCTGGAGATGACCACATGCACAACTTCATAAGATAACAAGATCTACAGAAAAGATTTAGCAGGGGTTCCAGCTTCCATTGTTAGCAAGGCAACACACAGCTTCACAATCACCCTCCTCTTTTATCCCAAGTCTTTACCTACAGTGCATTTCTATCCATCACAATGTCTCCTCACAGCATGGGGTCCTTTCCCTTCCCCAAAAAATCTTTACCAAATGTCTTGATTGAACCAGAAAACCATTCCCCCCCGGCCCTGCGAGACATATTTGCAGCCTCTGCACATGTAGACTGAAACGATAATGATGGGGTTGGTGTCCTGTTTCCAGCAGCAATAGAGGGAAACTTTGCAAGCATGTAACTCACCAGTCTGAAAAAAAAAAGGGGGGGAGGAGGGTTCGAAAGAGATGGCTGAAACCGGGGTGTGTTTCCCATTCTCAGTAACAGTGCATGGAGAAAGTTGGTGGTGTCTTGTTCTCAGTGGAGAATGATACTGAGCTGTTTCCAAATGGGATGACAATAGGAAAGCACCGGGGGGGGGGGGGAGAGAAGAGAAGACAGGTGCTGCTTTTTTATCCCGGGGCGGGGGTGCAAATTGGAAGGAACAGGGGGAAAATAGCACGCAGAGAAGTAAAAAGGCGACTGTCCTGCTCCTAAAAGGGGGGGGGGGGGGAGAAGGCGACCACTGCCCAGCCAATTCCCAAATGGGAGAGGCAGCGGGAGAAGCAGGAAGGGGGGCGGCTGCCGCCCCGTCACCAGTTCGATGGGGAGGTGAAGATTAGGAGAGAAGCAAGGGAGAAGTTGAACAGATCTGGCAGCGCCTGTAACTTACGCAGCTTTTTCCACATGGCCCGGTGGCAGGCAATGAAGCCCTTGCGCAGGGCCGCGCACACCTCGGCCGGCTCCGCGGAGCAGAATCCCTTCTGCTTCTTGATGAAACCCCAGAGGTTCTCCCGAGCGAACTGGGCCGCTTCCCGGCCCCCATGCCCGTCACACACGGCGAAGAAGGCCACGGATCGGCGGGGGCACTGGCTGGAGCCGGGGGACTGCTCTTCCTCTTCCGCCGCCTTCGGGCTAGCGCCTCTCCTCCGACAGCTGGCGGGCAGGAGGTCGTGCCTGGCCCGGGACTCGGCCGCCCGCTGGCTTCCAGGCACCGATCCGCCCTTGTAAGGGGGGCCCTCCTCCCCTTCAGCCGGCGGCTCCGGCTCCACCACGATCTGGGTCACATCCTCCATGTATTTCCTGCCTCCCTGGTCGGAGAACACGCTCACCCCCAGCGAGTAGAGACCCTCCATGGGGGGAACGGAGCAGGGGCTGGAGCCGCTTCTCCGACGGTAGCAGGCCCCCAAAGCACAGGCGCGGGGTCTCCAGCCGAGCGGCTCTAGCGCGCTCCCCCGCCAGCAACTCCAGCCGCGGCCGGTGACTATTGTTTACGTTCGAGGCGCTGTTTGGGCATGTCCGAGGCACAGAACGCGGCGCTCATGTAACAATCCCTGATGGAACCCGCAGAACCTGAGCGTTCCGAGGCGCAGCGCCCCCTGCCGCACGCCAGGGCCAACTGTACCTCCAGCTCCACCGTTCGAAACAGCGCCCCCTGCGCCAGTCCCCGACGCAGGCCTTGCAACCACCCTCTGCAGAGCTCAGCGTTGTAACTAGAAGAGTGCCCCCTGCAGCCGCGGGCAGCGAGGGACTGAGGCCATTGCGCGCTGCGCGTTAAAAACTTCTGCTGATCCTAGGTCCACTTCAGAGGCTTCTCTATAGGGTGACCACTGACCAGATAGCAAGTATGAAAAATCGGAGGGGTGGGGGGGAGTAGGCACCTATACAAGACAAAACCTCAAAGATTGGGATTGTCCCTATAAAATTGGGACATCTGATCACCCTAGTTCTCTATTAAGACTTCCCTTTTAATTTTACTGAAGATTGCTATAGCACCATAAATGTACAGGCACTTTACAAGGAGGGAGCACAGCTTTATTCAACAGGATGCCAGCTACCAAGTCCAAGTCCTGAAACGTACCCTTTGCCATAGGCATCTTTTGCAGTAGCTCCTACAGGGCCCATGGAATAGGGTCCTCAGTGGCAGACAGAACTGCTAGGGCTGGATCCTGCGTGCTATAACAGAACAAGATATGCTCACTGCCAGAAAGAGTTTTATTTAAAACAAAATTGTTCCAGGTACATTATATTTATATTTCACTTTGTATTCCTATAGCACCTTCCGCCTAAAAGCTTCAAGAGTGTTAAAAACATTGTTGAACTAATCATTTAACCATCACTAAAATAGATGGAAGTAGTTTGGACTCTTCTTTCAAATGAGGAAAGCTGGTGGCATCTCAAAGTGGGAAATACTGATTCACACCCATTTGATATACCCTCAATATCAATAGGTTTCAGAGTAGCAGCCGTGTTAGTCTGTATTCGCAAAAATAAAAGGAGTACTAGTGGCATCTTAGAGACTAACCAATTTATTTGAGCATAAGCTTTCGTGAGCTACAGCTCACTTCATCGGCCGATGAAGTGAGCTAAGCTGAAGCTTTCGTGAGCTACAGCTCACTTCATCGGCCGATGAAGTGAGCTGTAGCTCACGAAAGCTTATGCTCAAATAAATTGGTTAGTCTCTAAGATGCCACTAGTACTCCTTTTATTTTTCCTCAATATCAATGATATCCCCAATATATCAATGTTACTTTTAACTTCTGTAGTACCTGAAGTTCTTAAAACATGTTACAAGCATTAATAAATCAGAATGATCTTGGGAGATAAATATCCCTACAGTATATTACGGCTGGGTACACATACACAGAGACACTACATTCTTTGCAGAAGATCATGCAGCAAGTCGCTACAAGAAGCAGGTACGGAACCCAGAAGTCCTGCCTCTCTCACCTCTGCTTGAACCAGCAGAGAAGACTTCTTCATAGGTAAATCAGCCACATTAAGACACCTCTTTTACCACAGTGGTTAAAATATTATTTATGAAATTAAATAAGACAGACACAGCATCCCCCAAGAAGCTTTCTACAATCCAGAAAAACAAGATCACTTTATTTCCTTTTTGGCTAAGAGACAAATGCAAACCAAACAATTGCTAAGAGGATAATTGGCACTGTAAACATCTATAAACCAATCACTATTGATATCAGTGTCCATCAGTGGGTGAACAGAGCCAATTATTATCAGGGTGTAGCCAGAAAAGAGTACTGTCCCCTTGAAGTGAGTGAAAGAAAGTTACAGAATAATAATACCCTGGTGTCTGTTTCATCCAAGGAACTATTAAAGTCTCACAACACTGCTAAGAAATACGATAAGGAAGTATTACCATTTCACAGATGTGTAGGCACAGCAATTGTTATTAAACACAGATTTTCATTAAGTCAGATTATGCTTTCTAAAACACTTAAGACAATGTCCCTTGCCTTGAGGGAGCACATCATGGGCACACAGAGCCAGGAATAAGATCATAGGACTGGAAAGGACCTCCCAGGTCCTTGAGTCCAGTCCCCGCTATCAGACAACCCATCAGATAATCTCATTCATAAATGTATCAGGCTCCCTCTTAAAACTAGTTAGGTTGTTTTCCCCAACTACTATTGAAAGGTTCTTCCAATATTTATTGGGACAAATCTTGCTCTGATGCTGCACAGTATAATCCTCCCTGAAGTCAAATGGATGAATTGTACAGGTTGTAGATCACAGCAAATCCCAATTCCTGTTGCTAGATTTAAACCATGAATTAGAACCAAGCAGACTAACTCCCATTCCTGGGGTCTCTGTATATGCATACAGGTTATTCTGATATTTGTGAAGCTCACCAAAACAGGGAAAAGTCAAGGGGAATATCTAATTCATTATGATAATTAAAAGAACCAGTGGTTTACGAATTCCAAGATGTTCCTTTTTCCCCCCTTTTCATCCTGATGAGATGTCATTTTGTACTTCCAAATGGAATCCAACATTTCATAATTTGTTGGTGATGTTGCATGCGGGCCAAATTGATTTATGTCTGGTGACTGGAAATATTTATTAAATATTTTATAATCAAAGCATTTATCTCATACAGATCATTTTACCAAATTAGAGCAGAGTGGGTGTTTTTTTGTTGTATAACAGCCACACCCCAAATTTGTAATTGGACACACAAAAAATCCCAAAACAAATGCTTTAAAATATCTTGGGTGTGGAGCTGCTGTTGATTATGCAGCATGCTAAAGTACATTCCTATTTGGTAATTTGTTCTTGTATTCTTATAGACTTCAAAAAAGCTCAGTTCAACCCAACCAGATACAGTAATCTTGCAGTGACATAAGCCTGTATACAAAGGGTGTAGAGAAAGATGTTGGTTTCATGAAGACTTATTACCTCAGCCCCACACTTCAAGACCCAAATAGTTTGCATACATCAAGTGTAATTAACTATTTCTATGCGCAATATATGCCCATATGTATATATTTCCTTTTCCTAAAACCCACTGCTCTTAGTTAAAATCAACAGGAAAAGAGCAGAGAAATTTCATACATATAACCCCTTACAGCTAAAGTAGTTGGGAGGGTTGGTTTGGGGTTTTTTTGGTCAACAGTACGGGCTCATCTGTAGGAAAAAGCTGCACCAGTTTAACTAAAATTGGTATTTAAACCAAGATAGTTAAACTGACACAATCGCCTGTGTAGACTGTTATTTTTGTTTAAGACTGGCTGATTGTGGTTTAGTTTAAACGAATTCCTTACATATTTAAGTAAAATCAAAATAAGCCTATTTTAAACTGAAATAAGAGCATTAATATTGCCTTTTATTCTGATTTAACTCAGTTTATTTAAAATCCCATCATAAATTAAACTGTTATAACGTCTCACGCAGACAAGCATTTGGTTTTATTCCAGTTTAAACATGTTTTATTTTGGTTTTAAGTCAATTGAAGCAAGTTTAAGTTAAACTCAAATAAGTCACTCAACCCGAAATAAGAGTGGCCTTGTCTTCACTAAGGAAAAAAAGGTGTCTTTTTAGCTCATGAGTTAAAATCCCAGCGTAGACAAGGCAATTGTAGTTTTAACTTGCTAGCTGGTTGAGGTAAACCCTAGGCTCCTCTGTAAGGAGATGTTAGCTAATACATGTTAAAAGTACACCCTTTTTCCTAGGCCTGGTCTATGCTTTAAACTTAGGCCAGGGTAGCTACAGCACTCAGAGACTGTGGAAAACCCTCACTCCTAAGTACCATAGCTATACTGACCTAACCTCCGGTGTAGACACAGTTAGGTTGAAGGAAGAATGCTTCCGTCAACCTAGCTCCGGCACCTGGGGAGGTGGTGTTCCTACAACAATGGAAAAACCCCTTCCATCATTGTAGGTTGCATCTACACTACGGGGTTATGCTATAGTTATGGCACCGTAGCTATGCAGCTACATTGCCACAGTGTACACAGACATAAATGAAGGCAGGGCTAGTTTCTACACAGGGGTTTGCATCAGTTAAAGTACACTGGTTTAAAAAATAGATTTAAATTAAACCAGTGCAAAATCGGTGTTTAGACAAGGCCTAAGGTGTGCTCTGACATTTTGTGGTCAGATAACCTAGAGCACTATTGTTTTAGCAGCTCAAGCCTGGTTTACCTATAAAGTTTTCTGGTAAAACTTGCCTTCTGTCAGCATGCATCCACCTTCAGTTTTGATAAAACCCTATACTTCTGCCAGCAGCATAAGTTCTCTACCAGCACAATGCCTGTGTGGACACTCCGTGAGCTGTACTCCAACAAACAGCCCTCCAGCAACAATCCCAATGCCACTGTCCCCACAGCAGTAACCACCTTTGTCAAATTTTTGAACTCCTCTACCTAGGGGTCACAGCAACCAGAAGCTATATACATACACTTTTAAATCCCCAGCATGTTTTGGAAATGCCTTTCTTCCTGCTAACCCATCTCTGCAAGCACACAGGTAAGACTCCATGTAAAGCTAAAGCTAAAACTGCAGCAAAACCTTTTGCTTCTGCCTGGTCCAGGAAAGAAATCCTGGATTTCCTCAGTTAATGGGGGAAAGGAGCAGTGCAAGCGCAGCTGCTAAATTCCCACAAGAGTCAGATGTTTATTTGAACAGTGCCAGGGAGATGCAGAAGCTGGGGTACAGCAGGGATGAGTTCCAATAGTGGGCAAAGGAGAAGGAACTGCAACAGTCCTACCAAAAGGAGGGCAACAAAAAGGTCTGGAGCTGCTCCCCAGAGCTACTGCTACTACACAGAGCTAAATGCCATTCTGAGCGGGAACCCCACCACAAATCTGTGAGTAGCAGTGGACCCTTTGTGATTTCTGGATGACGGCACTCCAGAACTGCACAGTGATGAAGAGCCCACTGAGGAGGGAGACCACAGAAGAGGCAGAGCCAACAGAGAGCCAGGCGCTCTTCTAGTCCCAGCCAAACCCAACCCAAATGAATCCATTAAAAAAGGGGACTCAGGAATGTTCCAAAGGTGTGAATGCTTGTATGTGTGGCCAGTCCCTTCCCATATTCAAGGAG